ATACACTAAAATTTCCATGTCTATTATTCACTAAAATTTATTGGTTCTGTATTTCTAGTTTGACAAGCATTTACAACAAATAATTATGCCATCCAAGAATAGAAAACTTTTTTCCTTTTCTATGGGAAGTTTACGTTAGTTCTTTCCAAATTGTTGAAGCTTGCTCTCGTCTTGGCTTATTGAGAGCTGTGCATGATCAATGCAGGTTGAATTCTGAGAAAAGCTTTTTCTCTGTATTTCTTTAAATGGTCCTGTTATAATTTTTTTATCTTCTATTGCTAATTGTTCCATTAAATTTCAAACAAAACAACCTGCTCTTTATGGTGTCTTCTTGTTATCATATATTTCTAATTAGATATGTTAATAGTTTGCTAAAAATTTTGGATTTACAGAAAATGTTTGTAGTTTTCTTTCAAAGTATTTGTCTTTTTTGAAATTGGGATACTACTGACAACGGTTATTAGAAATAAAGGGGGGCTGTCACTTTAAAGAGGGGCATGGAAGAGATTTGAGAGAAGGTAATTTGTAGGAGCTGCAGGATAGAAAGGAAGATGCTGATGGGTGAAAGGGATATAATTCTATCTCAGTTAAAACACTAAAATAAATGTAAGGACCAATTATTGTAAAAGAAAATAGTTAAATAAAACATAAAATGTAAGATTCCTGTTGAACCATTCAGAAAATGTGTCATTTCAGGTTTACCATTTGTAGATTCTTTTCCCCTCTCACTGCATGGTGTGTCCTTTCCATGGTTTTCCCTCCAGCATTTATAATTTTATCATCAGCATAGTGACTGTCATGAGTAAACTCTACATTATATTTTTTGCTTTGAAAATGTTTTGCTGTGATTTACTCCCTTAGACAGTATTGTTAAATCTATATCTGTTGTGATCAGTGGGTGGCTCATGCTTCAGGCAGGATACTCAAGCCTCAGCTACGAGGTGATGCTAGTTTGCCAGACCCCATCGCTGTCACCCAAGACTTATACTGAGTGTGTGTATATCATTAACGGTATCTCCCGACTTTCTCTTTGAAGTGTGTCTTTCTTACTCTCTGACAGTCCACTACGATCAGTGCCAGCTACTTTCCCTAGGCTTTGTAGTGTTCTGGTGAGAGCGAGTCTGCCAGGGCCAGGGCCATTATTATAACTGCAGCTCCCCCTGGTATAAAGGGGTGCATTTTGTTTTGGCAAATCATTTGACTCTCTATTACAAGCAAAGTGTTTGTTAAGAGACCAATGTGATTTTTTATTTTGTGATTTTGTGGTTTGATGTTTGTGGGAGGAATATATAGTTACAGATTACTGCTGTATAGAGAGGAAATGGAAGGAAAAATAGACATTTGATCATAGCAGTTATGATACATTTTCCTGTTTATATCCCTATTATTTCCATCACTTACAGAATATTTTCCAGTTGTTTGTTGATTTATTTTTAATCTCTTCTTCCATATTTTGGCTCAAACAGTCTTTTCGTTCTTTGAGCATACCAAGGATTTCTACCTCAATTTCTTGTACCAGGTGTTTTTGTCTTCAATTATGAAATGATCTTCTGCTTCATCTTTGAAATTCTTAGAGGCTGCTCCTTGTAATACTTCATCTTTGTCTCACCAAGCTGCAGCAGTTTATCTTTTATTCTTATTTTCTTTTACAGTAAAATGCTCGATTTCATAGCACTTTCCTAGTCATTTACGCTTAAGACCAATGGTAAACAGATGTAGCGTTTAATAATTTTTCTCCACCACTGAATCCCCAGTGAAGAAAAAAATAGTACATATTTAAGAAGGTCTATAAAATCATACAAATAATGATTCTGAAGTCTAGATCAGGCTGACAGGGAGGATATCTCAAAGACTGAAATTTTTTTGCAAGCAGACCATTCACAGTGGAAACGAAGAGATTTTCAATAAGCAGTGTCCAAGACAAATCACAGAAAGCACATTCTTTGTCCCTGAAGACTCCTATAGAGAGCACATGATTGCTTCTGTAGTATAAGAAGAGATTAAAGTTGGAAATTCATATTATATGAAATGAGAAGTGTCAGGTTGATGATTCATGACTATAATTTCTACACCTGAGTAGCTGAATTGAAAGAACCCCAAGTTCACAGCCAGCTTGGGCTACATAATAAAATATGATCTCAAGAATAAAATAAGGCTGTACCCCCAGATAAAGAATTATGGTCAATTAATGATTGCTAAGAGAGAGAGACTTCGTTTGTTCCAGGAACAAGTTCCTGACAGCTTATCCAGGCCCCCAAAAGTCAACCTCAACCACAGATACATATAAGCAACACTAAATAAACTTAGGATATGGTTAATACATGTAACACTAACAATTAAGGAACAAGAGACCAAAAGCAAAATAAACAAGTAAAACAAAACAACAAGATAAGCAAGGAGGAGAATCAATTTAGATTTCTTTTAGAGATGACCACTCATCAATAAATGATAGACACTCTTTCTCGAATCATTCAAGTGTTATCTTTGTTACAAAATCTACTTGAATTATAAATGATAGGAAATACATAGTTCTATAACTCTCCTTGCTATGTTATGCGTGTATGCATTTTGTCTGCAGTAAGATTCAAGCTTATGAGACAATATTTTTGTTTTATGCAACCTTACATCCCAAGTCATGAATAGAGTACCTGGCATAGAGCAAACATTCAATATGTATTTGTCACCAAATTACCAGTCTACATAAGCAGTTGAAATCCTAGAAAGAATGCATTGTTTTCATATAAAAATGGTAAGTTAAACCATGTCTTGCTAAGCATTTTGCTTGTTTTATTTGGGGGGAAAACAGCGTTGTATTTATTGACTGGAGTGTCAACCAATGCGTGGCGCTGCTGAGCAGCAAGGTTGCACCAATTACTCTTCTATTGGTTTGATAAAACTCAAGGACTCTTACAGAAGAAATACTTTATTTGGGCTTACGAATCCAGAGGGATTAGCGTTCAAGATGATGGAACAGAGACAGAATGGACAGACACGGAAGTTAACAACTTACATCTTGAACTGCAAGCAAAGAGCAAAAAGAGTTAATTGGAAATGATATCTTTAAATCTCAAAGTTGAACACCAATGACATATATCTTCCAATGAGGCCATATCCCCTGACGTTCTGTGTTATCAGGGATTCTATTGCTGTGAAGAGACACTAAGACTACCACAATTCCTATAAAAGAAAACATTTAACTGAACATGTCTTACAGTTTAGAGGTTTAGTCCATTGTCATAGAGGGAAATATGGCAGCAAGCAGTCAGACATGGTGCTGGAGAAGCAGCTGAGAGTTCTACATCTGGATTGGCAGGCAGACACTGGTGCTGACTTGAGTTTTTGAAATGTCAAAGTCCATGTCTAATGACACACTTCCTCTGAGAAGGCCACATCTACTCCAGCAAAACCACATATCCAAATACTCCCAAACAATGTCACTCCTTATGAATCTATTGGGGCCATTTTCATTCAAACCACCACAGACTCTCCAAACAGTCTTGGGCCCAATACTTAAAAACTAAAGAATATGGGTGATATGCTATTCAAATCACCATGAAAAGTTCTAGCCAAAATTTTATGGAACATATAAAATGTTCAGCCCTCCACAATTTTTCTTGTAAAGAAAATATGAGTCAGGTATGATGGTTCAAGTCTATGATTCCTGAAATTAGGACCTAAGATAGGAAGACTGCCAATCTTTTGAGACTATCCTGGGCTGAATAGTAAGGCTCTTTCTAAAAGCATAAAAATGAACGTTAAGGCTTTATATTTAATTCACTGCTTGCCACTTATTCTTAAGTCTGCTTTAAGGGTTTTAAAAACATGACTGATCTTAATGATACACAGCACCAGTGAAATTTTAGTATGCAAATCCTTTCTTATATGATCAAAACAGGCAGAATTATATTGGCCATTTTATGAAATACCCACTCAAATTGTCATTAGAGACATGCAATGCAACTGTTAAAATCTATTCACTAACAAGAAAACCAAAATGTCCATAAGCTAGTAAATTATTGAGTAGAAAATCAAACATTTTTTTCTGGTAGTAGATCAATATCAACATGTAAAATACCTGACAAAGATTGCAACAACTTCAGTTTTAGGCTATCTGATCATATTTAGATGTAAATATATGGTTGGTAGTCTTTCCATAGTTGGTTTAGATGTAATTATATGGTTGGTAGTCTTTTCATAGTTGGATTATATAGCTTATTAACTATATGTCAAGTAACATAGCTAACAAAATGGAATAAAATAAAACTGTATATCATGTAAAATAAAATACTACAAATTCATTATATCATCCGAGGTCACTTATGCTCTATGAGTCACTGTGTAAGTTGCTAATGAGGAATTAGAATTTGTATTGCGCTTTTTCAAGCAGTGGTATGTATGCAGGCTATACAGTTCCACACTTCTGGGTACAGTGGTTTGAAATTATCACCAAAGATAAATTCAGGCCACACGTCTATGGCTATGTGAAGGTCATATCGTATATACTTTCAGTTATTATGGAGCTTATAGTTTACTCCTGGAATTTATGCAGCATCTACATGCCAGCATATTTAATGATCATTTCTTGTTAATGTGCTGAGTAAACAGCTAATGCTATCTATATTAACATTGCTAAAGCTTGTCTGATAAACGTCATTTCCTAAATACTGCTATCGTTTAAATCAGAGCAGCAAATGCACAATTAACCTGAACAGGAGAAAAGAACCCACTCAGCACCTTAGAATGGACCTAGTTGAGTTATGACTCATCTAATTTTGCAAAGTCGCCATAAAAATGAGCTTTCCAGTTTGCAGAAGTATAACTGGGATTTACAGCAGATGATTAAGATAAGAAAGAAAAATAACTTTTACATTTTATCAGAACAGGAGCGTTTTATCCTGGCTATGAATTTTTCTCTCTGTAGATTTCATTCATCAAAGAAATGTCTCCACAAGTTGTCAAGAGCCCAGCTGTTCCCCAGGGACTCTACACGTGTGACTTACCTTGTGAAAGTTTCTGAAATAAGCTGCCTTTTCATCTGGAAATTTTTCTAGCCTTCTGGGTCCCTTGCTAGAAGCCTTCTTAAAAACCAACCAACATCGTCTGAAAATCTGAAACAAATAAAGGCATCTGATTATCCACCCTTTCCTATAAACTTACTGGCTTTTGAGGTTTTATCTATTCAACCAATCCATAAGGAACGAGTTTGTAAAACCCCATTTACTTCATAGAAAAGCTTCTTTAAAGAAGTGTGTGACTCATAGAAACTACAGCACACCTTAAAAACAAAATGTATCATGTAAAATTCATTTTTATTAATCACTTAGTTGTCAGTACTGCATGCATAATGGCAATTCTTTATTTCATATCCCACTGCAGTGTGAATTTATTCAGGTTAAGTGAAATAGATACATACTGCTAGTTTTCTAACTTTGAATAAAAAATAATATTTATAAATGTCTTATACAACTTCAGGATTATCAACAAATGGTCATGACATAATTTAGAAAATAGTAAAAAATACAGTTTTATATTGGGCAATACAACTCCCTTGCTTTACAGTTTTATATTTATTAGAATATGCTAAATATTTATTATGTAAAATGATATCTTTCAAATTCTATGTGTACATCTAATCCTGATTACTACTTTTAAACAGGTACTGTTATGTTCATTTTATGATGAAACTAAGAGGCAGGACAAGGCTTGAGTAAATGTCTTTCTGAACCTGTAGTTTTAGCTTTTAAAATACCGTTAATTATAGGAGCTCACTTTATTATTTTTGGACCATGTTCTTATTTTATAGAAATAATCAACACTAATCTTTTAGGTTGCTCTCTCATTTTTACTGTATAATATTACACGATCTCCGTAGGTATGTTGAAAAGAAAAGTAAAATGTATTTTTTTCCAAAAATGTATTTTGTCCAAAGCAATTGAACTTTCTTGGTAATTTAAAATGGACACAACTTTTTAATGTCTAAATTTGGCAAATTTTATTTTATGAAGAAATATTCTTCAGTAGCATGAACAGAGATTTCATCAAAGGTAATTTTACAAATCTTAGTCACTGTGTTTCTACTCTGTGTCTTTATTTAAAGTACACATTTGCCACAATCCCTTTTCTGCTAGTAGAATACATGAATGTTATTTTTTCAAATTATTCCCATGAACATTTTTCTTACTCATTGAAAGACAGCATTTTCCATGTTAAAAGGCATTCTCAGAACAATCACAAATGAATTTTCTACTAAGAGCAAAATAAGTACAATAACCATCTGAACACTCATCCCCTCTGCGCCTGCTCTCTTTCTTAGATCTTTTACTATAGCTTTGAAAAATACATCAGGAATGGCGTTGAGCTCCAAGCATACAATAACACATCTGCCCATCTCTGGGATTAGATATATCTTCCTTATCAAAGGGCTAATAGCTGTATACCTGTCAATGAGGAACTGGTCAATTTCTTTAGAATGATTGGTTTGCTTTGATACATGGCGTTTAGCATGTGGCACTGAATTTCTTTGTTGAACCTTTACCGATTCCCACTTCCAAAATTATATTAATGATTACAATATGGAATCAACATATGATTTGCGTAGCTCCAATTAATGAATATCAGTCATTTTTATCCAACCCATTTCTCTTTCTCATCTTTCTCGTTTTTCTGCTGAAATCTTTCTTCCCAGCAAACTATTTGCACGTCTTGTATCGCATGTGGACTCCTTAAGTTTAATTAGTTTCTTTCCACAGCATGGGAGGGAAATTATTTACTGGAGCAAGGGCAAATTACCAATGGTTGTAGCAATCAAAAAAATGACACCTTTTCCCTCAGAACCATACACTGCTAGTAGTCCTTCAGGTAGGGGTAGGACATCTTGAGTTTCTCCCCTAATCATGACAAAATGTATGAGAAAATGTTAATATATAATAAAAGACAAAAAGACTGTGAAAAATTGGTAAAGCTTTTATATTTTTTATCACAGATCTTTTATTTATTCATCACCCAACATCAGCGTTACTTAGTGCTCAGAAGAGTAATGCTTGGAATTGAGGGGGAATTTAACAAGAGGGCCAAAGTTTCAGTGTACAGAAAATCTCCACAAGGTGTTGCCCTTCTTTCAGGTTGCTTTATCTTACTGATAGGTGCTATTTGCTACAAATAGCAAAGCTGTACATGATAACATTTCTTTTTACTATAGGAGTTCTGGTTGCAACATATTGCTGTGAGAAATCTTTCTGTATAAGGGCTGCTTTTATTGGTTAATGAATAAAGCTGTTTTAGCCAGCAGCTTAGCAGAATAGGGCAAGGCAGGAATTCCAAGCAGAAAGAGGAGGAGTGAGTAGGCAGAGTCAAGGAGAATATGTGGAGCCACCACAGGAGACAGACACAGAAGATAGATGCAAGACAGAACCTTACCAGTAGGTAGGTCACAGCTATGTGGTAATACACAGGTTAAGAGAAATGGAATACTTTAAGGTATAAGTTATAGCTAGCAATACACTTAAGCCAGGCCAAACAGTATTGCAAATAATATAGTTTTGTGTGATTACTTCAGGTCTTGGAAACCTGGAATGAATAACCAGCCTCCATTTACAGATGGTGCCCAACATGTACAGCTAAATCCACATAAAACCGAGAGAGCTACAAAATGAAATCTAGACAAAAAGAACAGACTTTAGTGCAGTTTCTTGGAAGTCACATTTTTTTTTCCGGATGGGCTGTCTTTGCTAGAAGTGAGCAGGAGTGCCATGGCTCCTTTAAGAGAGATCTTCCTGATTCAGCATTAGCAGCAAAAAAATTGCATAGATGTGGTTTCCTGGTTCGCCAGCACAAACAGCTCTGAACCTTTTGGGAGGTCTGGCTACGGAGCACTTGAACGGAGTTTGTGGGCCCGGGAGCTTGTATGCCCACTCAGGTTTAGAAGGAAAGTAGCTGAAACCATGCTCACCCCACCCCTGCCTGTCAGGCAATGGGATCTGGTCCGCTAGGAGTGAATTGGCAGGAGAGCATGGCAAATTCTTACAGTTGTAAAGGTCTCACGTGATTCTGATAATCAATTAAATTAATGTATCTGACTAACCAAATATATATTAGTATATCTGATCAAAGTGTTAAAAGGTTTCATTGAATACAAATATTTGCCAATATTAATATTTCATGATGTTTCTAATATATTGAACAGTATATGTGTGCATGCTTACATTTAGGTCATTTTATTGCTCACACCTTGGTAGTCATCATGATAGCAAATGAATCCTTAAAATATTCATAGAAATCCATATGTATGTAGGCATTTCAATGTTCATTTTGTATTACTATAGTTACTTTAATTTAATAATTGAGCTAAATATGAGCCAGAAAGCATGGATTGTTATTGCAGAACAAGTGATACCAAATAAGATGATAGATCTACCTATTTAAATAGTATCCTCTCCTTCAGCTGTTATAATATTAACAGATCAAACGACCACAGACAAACGAGCCTAGTTTTTAAAGGTTTCATAAAACAAAGTTTTTGCAAACTTGAAAGACCTGCCACTTATTTTTGGAATGGCCTTGGATTTTAAACAGTGCCAAAATTGGTACATAAAGTTCACATATATTTAATCCAGTCTTTAATATTAAAATGTTAATGAAGCCTTGTATGGTTTTCAAAATCAGGACAAGACACCAAAATAATTGATAAAATTATTAAGAAAAAAATTAATTTTATTGAGAATTTAGCTTAATTTTTCTTATCCTGTTCTTTAACAGCAATCAAGACCACATTCTAAACCTGCAGTCTGTAATAATTTCTTAGACATTGTGAATTTTTTCTGTTTGCTGATTTGTTTTGCTTTCAAAAATCTTGACAGTTTTGAAATACACTAGTGAATTATTTTCTACAAAATTCACTAATTTCTGTTTGTCTTGTTATTTCTGATAACTAAAATTCTAACGAAAATCTGACAGCAATGTCATGAAAATAAAATAACAATATGAATGAATCATGACCGTGGACTAGTTATTTTTAACACATTTTTAATTGATAATTTAAAGGTGAAAAGAGAATCACTTAATAAATGTTGATTTATTTCCTCTTTAGTCATAATTTCTAAATGCTAAGAATTTAAATAAAAGAAAATAGTAGCCAAGACCATGCTATGGAGACATTGCATTGTTACCTGTTTTATTAATGGAAGCAAAATTATGGGTCATGAACTAAATGCCTCCTCCACTGCAAGAGTAGGAAGTGAATGGGGAGGAGATCTCTCCCCTTTGACGTTTTCATCAAACCAGCTTCTGCTCGAGGCCCTGGAACTGGAGCTTTAAATTAGTATGTTGGAGAATTTACATAAATGAGCAAGGAAAATGACTGCTGGGAGCTAGAAAATCATTTCTATGAGAAAATGTATATGTAAAAAAGGTTTATCTAAAATGATAGGTGAAATTCTTTTGAGGAAATGAAATAAAACCCCATGATTGAACTAGCACCTAAATGTTTTTGCTCCTGAGGATAAGCAGTTGGTGTGGGAGGTCCTTCTGTCTGTGTGTTGTTTTTATTGGTTAATGAATATAAAAATCTGCCTTGGCCTGGTAGGGTAGAACTCAAGTAGGTGGGGAAAACTGGACTGAAAGAGGCAGGGAGAGACACCATGGATCCTCAGCCTGAGACAAACATCGGTTGGAATCTTTTTCTGCTAAACCACTGCCACGTAGCGATATACAAATTAATAGAAACGGGTTAAATTAATATAAGAACCAATAACAAGCTAAAGATAATAGGCCAAGCAGTGTTTTAATTAATACAATTTCTGTGTGATTATTTCGGTTCTGGGAGGCCAGAACGAAGGAGCAACCTTCTGCAACAAGCAGTAATGAATGACCAATGAGCCTTATTTATTTATTTGGAAATTGGGGGCAGGTGTTCTATTCTAATTTGTTAATTCTTGCATCTCAAGAGCATAAATAATTGCAACTATTTTGGTTTGGGCTGTTTAAGAACAAAATTTATTTCTTGAAGAAAGTCTTCTTGACAAGTATCTGTCTGTTAGCAGGTGACATTTTTGCAGGTTACATCTTTGTTTAGGGAATTCTGCACCCTCTATCTTGGAATAAGAACTGAGAA